CGACCTCGAAAATCTCCAACCAGTACTCACACACATTCCTCGATTGTACGGTCTACTGAAGATCCACAAGAGCTGCTTACCAGTCAGTCCGATCCTGAACATGCTCAACTCTCCCTATCTTGCGACATCGAAGTGGTTAGCAGCGAAACTCCAACCTGTGCACTATCAACTAGCACCACATAGCTATCGGGATACCTTCGAGTTCATTAAAAGCGTTATTGACATAGGCCTAAAAGGTATGGTGATGTTTTCACTTGATGTCTCATCATTCTTCACGAACTTTCCGTTCGCGGAGCCAGTCAAGTGCAAATGTGAATTTTAGTCAACCAACCACCAAGAAATAGATATTCCGACGAACGCACTGAATGTACTATTACTAAAATGCGCACAAAATGTGCAGTTCCTTTTTGACAACCAAATATTTAGGCAAACATGCGGAGCTGTAATGGGATAGTCTCTTGGTTCTCCTAGCCGATGTCTTCATGGGCAAGTTAGAAAAGTTTCAGGTAAACGACTAAATCAAAAAGCTAAGACACTGCAGTCGCCACGTTGACGACATCTTTGCAATTGCCACCAGGGGAGCCAAACATAAACACCCTTTTGGATTCTGTAGATCAAGCACACTCGTCGATCAGGTTTACATTGGAAGTGGAAATTGCAGGCTCCCTGGATTTCCTAGACGTCCTTCTAAGCAGGCGAGCTGACGGCAGCATTTGTAGAAGTGTCTATAGAAAAGCCAACTGGTCTGGGCAATATACAAACTACAGTTTCATATCGCTTCAACAGAAACGGAATCTAGTTTGTTGTTTAGCGCAAAAGGCTAGAAACGTCTGTTCGGCAGATAGCGCTGATGAAGAACTTAGAAGAATTCGGGACCTACTTCGCGAGAACGGGTATCCTGGCAGATTAATTGTAAGGAATCTTGCCGAACGACAGGTGAAGCTCATCATATCAACGGCGGAAAAGAAAACTCATCAGAGTTTCCATTCAAGGGACGCGGCGAATAAACTCCTGAGAAGACGCCTTGACCAGGCCGGCAGCAAGAGTTCAAGTATTGTCCTCGATCAACCCATCTTACGCGATGAAGGTAATGACAGGCTACCGGCTCATGTGCATTTACTTCTTTACTTGCTCCTGTAGAGCAGGCTATATTGGCCCTATGAGTTGGCGCCTATCCGCAACAATACGAGAACATCTACCGGGATGGTTCAGGAAAGGTGAAATTCTGAGCATACACAGCTCTATCCTCACACAAATGGTTGATTCTGGGTATCGTGTGGACCCCAACAAAACCTTCCATGTGATTTACAAGCTCCCACCTAACTACCATAAACGAATGGGTCAGCGTTGATTAGCAACAGAGAAAGCGACTGCCATCAGGCCACGGAGGCTGGTTCTGTGCGCGCATGTCTCCGCATCTTGTTCCCCCCTCCCCCTCCTCCTTGTGACTCGGTTCTACCTAATCAACACCGCCACTTACTACCTCCTCTTCTCTCCTCCTCCCCCCTTCCTCCCTATTCACACATTCTATTTGCATGAAAATACGGACCGTTATCGAGTTCCCTTATCGCTCATACGTTTTATCCTGTACCTGGTTCCCATATGAATGTGCTAGTCCGATGATTATTAGTCGAAAGCACACATATTCTCGCCAAATGCTCTTCTGAAATCGTTTTATTAAATTGCCTTTTATATAATGTTCAACTTTTAGGTGGAGTTGGAAAGCATTTTTGAAGAAGTAAATATTCACTGATCAAAGCTAGATCATCTTGTTGCAGTTGCTCCCTCCCAGTAAATTACTGAGGAAAATTTATTACTTTTCAGAAATTTGCACTTTTGGATTCAAAGCATCATTCAAATGTTCATATGGCGATATCCTGGTTTTCGAAAGCCCTTCAGTAAAAAAAGCAATTTCAGGCGCATACGTAGGCTGTAATCTGTTGGCAACAGGCCAGGCGACTATGAGGGATGCGGCAAGATCTCGTAAGACCCTCCTGCCAGTTGCATAATTTGTAATTGTGAGGTTTATTGTTACCAATATCATGCTGCAACATCGGTCTGTCTGTTTACCAGTAGTGATTCCTTTGTGGCCACATTTCTGAGCATTAGGTCGATCGGTCTACAATACGACTAGGTTGGGATTGCCGCAGTCGGTTACAGGAATGCTCGATATGCGACCCCAGCAGTATAAGAACACCGTAACCATTTCTGGGCGCAAATATGGAGGTTAGGCATGTTGGAGCTTCTTCTATATTCAGCGACTGTCCTGGTCTCTTATGCTTATTTCATAGGATCAGTTTTCCGTCTAAAGTGCTGATTCTTTTCATGAAGTGTCTTTAGTATTTCCTCATATTTAAGGAATTCTTTATACCCAGACGAAATAATGCATTTACTTGCTGCGCAATTTTTCTGTTTCCCCTAATCTGTCACTAAAATACCCCGAGTGCAGTCAATTGAAGTGAAGTGAAACAAAATGAAGTTCCAAGGAAGTGAATTCTGTTGTTCCCCAGTCTTTGTGCCGCCCACTTCTAGAGTTTTTCACGTACGTCAGGCACGCCTAGAGCGGGCTCAGGCTTTTGCCCGGCGGCATGCGCCAGTCGAGTGAATCATTGGGCCATGCTTGTCTATCAACGAGGGCAAAAGTATCGATCGACGCCAGGCCTGCAACGCGAACACGTGGTGTAGCGGTCGAAGATGTTGAGGGTGACACACACACACACACACTGGGTTATGTAGATCTTTTGGGCTAATTACCGGCTAAGAATAGACTGCATGGGGCTGCTAGTAAGACATCATGCACATTCAGGCGATCATCGAAGAAAACGAGTTGGGAATTACTAACGAGTTTAATTGCAACAGCATATTCACTAGCATAGGGAGGAGTCACAGTACATATGCAATCGCTCCGTCAGGAGTGGGAGGACGATACCAACATGCTCGCGTGACAACCGGTGTGGAGTATTGTGCTGCAAGAAGCTACCGGGAAGGTCCGTGGAGCAATGATACGCGGAAAAAGTGGTTGAGTACTAACAGCGAGCGGTGACACAGGGAATATCAGCGATATTGGGAGAAGGGACATCGGTCATCTTCACTGGCACGCAGATGGACCGATGTCATCCTGGGTCCCGGCCAAAGCACCTCCCAGCGATCCAAACAATCCCAGTACGTTTGGTAATGTGGTACAGTGGTCTGCAGCTGAACTGTTAAGTCAAAAGTGACCAGTACATATAAAACAACTCAACGTTTCCTATGGTATAGGGAAGTTCACCGATGGCATTACGGGACATACCCGTCCCTTCGTGCCTTGGAGCTCGATATAGAGTCGTACAGGCAGTCACACGGCGACTAGTAATCTAGACAGAAAAGCATTACCGATAATGTCATTTTTCCGATGTTTCCTGTACTCGTGCAAAGACGAAAACCTGTTAACAAGTCCACTATCTACACTTGCCTGGCCACTTTTAGGTGTATTTATGGGCGGCGGTGTGTATGTTTTCATACTTTCAGTTCCTCAGGAACATGACTAAAATCAACCTATCTTTGTCCGGCTGGAGTCTTATCTTTGTCTCTGATTCGTAGTCCATCTGGTCCATCTTCTTCGTGCGACCACGACTTTTTAACAAGGCCGTGTAGTGCAAAATCTTGCTCTTTTTCACGATCAAAATCTTAGGTTGCAGAGAGTCTGCGCATTTTCCGCTGGTTGTGTGAGCGTGCCGGTTGTTTAAATTGAAGGAAAGTACTAAGGCCAAGAGCAGAAGGAATGTTTGCCAGATTCGGTCAGGTAGGCACTCGTGGGGCACTTTTTCCTCCATGAAGAACTACGTTTACAGAGTAAAACCGAAGAGTTAATCCTCGTGTAGCCGGCAGTCATCATTGCGATGGCCGGCGTCTTTGTTAAAAAGCCTGGCTCCAATAGTAGTGAAAGTGCGATTCGCAGGTGGAATATCAAAAGAAGAGGAGGTGTTCACCGGGAGAGGTTTGCTTGAGGCCTGAGGTTTCGGGTATT